GGCACTGCTGCAGGCCTCAGGGGAGAGGACTGGGCCTGAAAGGGGCCAAAGACCCTCAGTAAAGGACAGGAGTGGGCTCTGAGGGACAGGCAGGGCTGTCCTGTGCCCACTGCCCAGGGGAACCCTGCACAGGTCCCTGGGGCCTGCTGAGTGGCAGGGCAAGGAGGGGGCAGGTCCAGGAGCGACCACAAGAGCTGTGACCGAGGTGGGGGTGACCCAGAGGGGGCTGGCCTGTTAAGGGACCGTGGCAGCCATGCCAGCCAGGGATGAGGACCACCGCAGAACACCTGCCTGGACAGATGGTGTCTACGGCCAGGCACCCCTGGCAGTGATGCTGTAGGCATCAGGTGGGGCACTGAACTGACTCAGTTTACCCCACTGAGCAAGATCATACAAATTCAGTTATGGATGAATGAAATCTGTTTCCCCCATCTGAGACTTAGCCATCTTTCCTCAAAGGACATTCTGGGGCATGTGGTCCTTGACCCCCGAGGTCTGGTGGGTGGGGTGGAGGAGAGATGGGGGTGCGGGGAGGTGGGGCAGGGTGTGGGGTCAGGCTCAGGGTGATCTCAGCTCCTGCAGGGCCCAGTCCAGGGCGGGTGCCGTGGAGTTCAAGGGGATACTTATGGGTTCCCAGCTTTGACCTCTGCACCTGTCCAAGCCCTGCACCTGGAGTCGAGGGTCCCAGTTCCCACGGGGCCAGTGGCTGGATTCTTTTTCTTTGGGGAGGAGAAGGCGGCCAGTCCTGCAGTCGTTTCACTTGTAAGTTAGGGCTCGGCTTTTCCCCTCCCACCTTCTCCCCTGGTCTGGGCTGAGAGGGGCCGCAGTCTACAGTCAGGGCCATGGTGGGTCAGCCACCTCCAGGATGGGTGGCTGGGTGGTCCGGAGGGTCCCTAGGGGCCTGAGGCAAGTGTGTGGGTGGAAGGGCAGGGGAGGGGTCACACTGGGAAGCAGGGGACCGCCCTCCCCGTCCAGCCTCTGCTCTTGAGTTTCTGGGTGGCCACAGAGGGCTGTGGGGCCCAGGTCCCCTCCATGCAGCCGGCCAATTCACAGTCCCCACAGGCCCAGCTGGCTGCTTCCGGCCAGCCAGGCAGACAATGCGCTGGCGGGGAGGGGTGGCCCACGGCCAGGACCATCCATCCCCCCAGCTACACAGGAAGATGGAACTCAGAAGATGAATGTGTCCTGGAGTGAACCCGCTGCCCAGGCACTGTGATTTAGGGCTCCAGATTCCNGATGAATGTGTCCTGGAGTGAACCCGCTGCCCAGGCACTGTGATTTAGGGCTCCAGATTCCCGGAAGAGGCGTCTCCATCCTGAGTCAATCTGGTTCCTTTCAGCCTTACATGGCCAGGGTCCTGGGACCCTGTCTATGGGGTGCCGGGGGGGTTTCCTCTTTCTACCCTCTCCTGCAGGCCTTGCCCTTGGGCTGTGCTGGCAATGTGCTGAGCTCCTTGCTGCCGCAGGGCCTTTGCACGGGCTGTGCCTCTGCTACAGTGCTCTTTCTCTGAGCCCCTCAAGGCTGCTTCATCCAGGTCTCCATTCCAGTGGCCTCCCATGGCCTCTGCCCCTCTCCTTCCTCACATCGGAGTCCTTCCTGTCAGGGGTCCTGTTCATGTGACCTCTGTCCCATCTCTCCAATACAGGTTCCCACCTGTGCTGGGACCTCTGTCTCGGTCCTGCTGTATCTGGCGGGACTGTGCATGGTCTCCCTAGTCGTCCCCACCCTGCTTCTCCTGGCCACGCTCCATCCTGGCACTCTCCTCCACACCTTCAGGCTCAGCTCTGGAGCCTTCCCTGACCCCCATCCCCTGCCCACCTCCCCCAGCCTGCATGCCCCACCCCCAGCTCCTTGCCCAGGCCTCAGTGGTGCTCAGCCTTGTGGCCTCCTCTAGGGTGCCAGCCTCACCCCCAGGGCTGTGCATGTACCAGACCCCCTGCCAGCATCGCCCCCCACCCGGCTCCCACCCCCTCCTCAGCTCTCAGACTCAGCCAGGTGGCACCACCTCGGGGAAACCCTCCCTGATCTCCCTGGCGGCATTGGGGACCATCTAGCACTGAGGAAGGCCGTCTGTGCGACTCCGACTGGTCTGTCTCTCCTGCTAGACTCTGGGCTCCATTTTTTGTTGCGGTTGTTTTCAGGGGAAAGTCCTACATTTCTGTGCATACTTTGGTGTCTCCAAAACCTCTTAGCAAA